AATTATAATGCTAATTAGATTAAGTACAAGCACTGCTGTCTCTGTTTCAAGAATCCCTCTAACATGAGAGGGCTTCAGTTTGCCTTATACACAAAACTGCACACACCTTATCTGGTCCCACCAGACACTAAAATGGCTTTGTGACAGCCCTAACTTTTTAGCCACAAGTTAATCACATAACTCTCTGACCTCATGTGGCTGTCTCTAGGCCCTTGATCTTAGAGTCATTAATAAACATATTCCTTTCATAGCAGAAAGCTTCCTTTGAATCACACCACCATGTGGAAAACACCGAATCCTGTGCCCAATGCCTTCCACCAGGCATTTACTCTCCACTTCAGGGTTGGCCAATCTTCCTCTTTCCACTGGGAATATCCCACAAGGAGTGAGCCAACACAAGCCTGCTTGGACTAGTTAGGTTAGGTTAGGTGCCAGCAAGTCTGCTCCGGACCACAGTGACCCTATGTACAACCTCCTGGTCCCAGGAAGTATTTGGGTTAATATTTCTCCTTAAATTACTGCTGCTGAGTTACACCATTTCAGGGATTTAAATCCTTTATATTAGTTTCTCCAGTGACAGAGTCTGAATGCCATCTATTTAAATATTAAAAGAGCTCTCCAAATATAATATAAGGTTATATCTCTTTGTAGTTTTATTTCCTTAAAATGAATGTGAATTGTATGATATATATAGACTGGAAATTAAATTCACATCTGACCCACAGACGTCTTCTAAAATATTTCAGTAATGGAGAACAGTCACTTGTCTAAGACGTCCCTCCTTATGCCTTCTCTCTTTAACTCTTGCCACCTTTCTCTCACCTTTAACATCCTCTCTTAATCCTCTTAAATCCATTTTTACTTCATTCTTATCTCTCAGAACCAGAGATTCTTTATCACTTAGGAAATAAAACCCATTTATACATATAAGGTGAATCTTTTCCCAAACCCTAAAACTATCAAAATATGTGTAGTGCAATATACTACTAGCAAAGTGCCTATGGCATTTGACTGCTAACCAGAAGGTTGGTGGTTCAAACCCACCAGCCCCTCCATGGAAGGAAGATGGAGCAATCTACTTGCATAAAGATTTACCAGGCTGGAAATCCAATGGGGGCTGCTTTGAGTTGGAATCCACTCAAGTGTAGTGGGTTTAGCCACATGTGGCTTTTTAAATAAACTTTAAATTAATTTGAATAAAATAAAACTAAAAATTCCGTCTCTTTTTACTAAGTCCCTGAATGCTGCAAATGGTTGGAGGTTTGAGACACCCCTTGTAAGAAAATCCTCGTGATCTACAGCCGGTAAACCAGCTTTTTGAAACCCTGAGAAGCACGGCTGTGCTCTGACCCACACAGGGTCTCCAGGATTTGCAGCTGACTTGACAGCAACAACAATGGCAGCCTCACCAAGTGCTCAACAGCCAGAGGTAGTACCACACAGAAAAAAACATTTCACCATCATAGGAAGTGCTAGTGGGAAGCAGTGGCCTAGTCATTTCAGCTCTAAGAATTGGGAGAATCTAATGTTAATAGCAAGAAAAAAACTCAATCTTGGGGGGGAAATGATGCATTAGTTAAAAATGAATAAAAGCCACAAATTCACCATTGCTGAAAATAAGTCAACAAATCTCCCCCAAATAATAAAATTTCTTTTTAACAATCCGGTCTGTTCATGAGCATCGGATACAGTAACTGGCTAGATTATAACATTGTTTTTTGGTTCTGAAATAATTTTCCATTGAGTTTCAAAATTATTTTCTTTAAAGGGCACTTATGAAGCTGCCAATGTGTTCCCTTGCCAGTGGAATGTATTCAATAGAATGCAATGTATTCAGTACAGTGGAATATAGTGTCTCAGGTAGAATCACACTTATAGAGCTCAAGAAGACAGCACCATGGAATGGTGGAATGCTTCCAATCACTTCAAAGCTCTCTGAACAAGAAGTCAATCTTGCTTCCTCCAACAGGGAATGGGGACCATCTCTCCACTTGCCAAGCATCTATTAAAAATCAGCCTGTTTGGCTATCACGTCTCCATGCAATCTGCCTGAAACCTTCTCATCCCCTGCATATCACTTGCACCCACCCCACTCCAAACATACCCCAGAGTTAATCTCTCCCTACTAGGTCCAACTCCCATTCCTTGTGCACAAATCCCTAACTATGTGTACTCTACTATATTCTAAGTACCGAGTAATAAGCTTGTGCTCCCCACAGGCAGCGAACTCTTTGCGGGCAGGGAAGGGACTGACTAGTCTGTGCTCCCAGCACCAGCAGTATGCCTGGCACATAGCAAGTTCCCAATAATATTTACTGAACTGAGATAAACAGACTGGACTCAAAGCTGTAAACTTGCTTTTCACTCTAACTCTCCCTCTAAGTCGCCAGTCAGGGCCATTGAAGGTATAATCAATGTAATCAACTTTGTTACTGTTTACATTTAGTTAGTAGCCATTTAAATTAACTCAAACTGTTAGCAGGAGGTATTACCCCCTGTAATCAAGTTGGCTACTGGTAGTCTATGTATATTTATCTTGATTACGGCAGCTTTGCAATTTCTTGGAATAAAAAGATCTGCTTTGGCCTGAAACAGACTACTAATTAATGAGATCGTGAAGTGAAATAAACAGTGTTATTCAATATAAATTGTTTACCATTTTCCAGAACAAACAAATAGATAAGTGAATGATGAGAAGTGGATTTGATGAGCCAATAGACAACGAAATGTATTGCCTGTATTTAAAACTTTGATAAAAATTCACTCCCGAAAGCATTTACAGGAAAATTTCAATATTTTGTTGCTGTTCCTAAGAAACATGACTTTATAAAAATGGGCAAATGCCCAGATTTCAAAAGAGAAGCTCAAATATGTCCCATACTACAGAAGGATCATTAGTTCCTATGTATGCACCTTTAAAACTCCAAAACCAAAACCAAACCCACTCCCGTCAAGTCGGATCTGGCTCATAGAAACCCCTCCTTGGGTTTCCGAGGCAGCATCTCTACAGAAGTAGATTGCCCAACCTTTTTTCTGAGGAGTGGCTAGTGGGTTTGAACCACCAGCCTCTGGTTAGCAGTCAAGTGCCCTAGGCTCTACGCCACCAGAGTTCTAATAATCTTGATGAAAATACTGGCGTCAGCAATCAAACTTTCAGACATAATAAGCTCAGCACTAAATCCAATTTGTGAAATACAGGGAAATGATTTCCTAAGGGAAATGTAGGATCTGCTTCCATGTTATTATGATATCAAGACAATCACCCAGACTTGTTTCGGTCCAGGTTAGATTGCGAGCCTTTACCTTCACTGTCAACGGAATAGCTCCTTTTACAACAGTCATGTTGAAAGGCAGAAGAGGCACTCTGTAGGACACTCTGGTGACTCTTCTCCATTTAGACACCATTACCCCTAGAGACTACATCTGTAGAGGTTGAGAATTTCACAAGTGCTTCCCTTCTCACATTTAACGCAAACTGTTCACGTACATGATCAGCCCGATTTTAGGCAACACCTGCTCAGTTTCCAGATGACTCATGGGAGTCCTTTCCCTCCTTTTTCGCCTTATGTCCCGATACTAGGTCACTTTCTTTCCCACTAGCCTTGCACGGAGGACCAGGGAGGAAAGGAGAAGAGGAGGGAAAATTCAGGCCCATCAGATTTTTAAAATTTATAGATTTTTTTAGAAAAAAAGTGGCTGAGGATATTGAAATTGCTAGATAAATTGGGGCTGGTAATTAGAGGCATTAATTTAAGTGATCTCCAAGTTATTTCAGTGTTTCTGATATATTCGACTACCCTTACTCTATAACATCTAATTAACAGCATAATTATTTCATAATCATTATATTCTCTATTCACACTGTTAAGAATTATTCTCCCTTTTTTACAGGTGAGAACATGGGAGTGGAGGGAAGATGTTGATCTGCCCAAGAGGAGGTCAAGATTCGAATCCACTATCAGTTGAACAAAGCTAAGCATCTATTCCTTGAAACCAATGGCTGTCAAACTTCCGCATGCATCAGAACCACTTGGGGAGCTTTTGAAAACACAGATGGCTGGGCCCTACCCTTGACGTTTCCTAGGCAGTAGGTCTTGTGTGGGACCTGGGAATGTGTATTTTCTAAGAAGGAGATGCAAATGCTGTTGCTGGTAGTCCAGGGGCTACACTTTGAGAGCTGCTGCTTTAAGCCATGCTGCCTCCCTTGGCTCTTTTTACATCCCATTAGGCTGGAAATCACATCAGAGCAGGGAAAGCCCCCAATATTGAGGCACTCCAACTCCCCCGCTATGAACTGGCCACCCTCATAGTACCCCTGGCATCTCACAGGCTCCCCACAAACACTGCACAGATCGGGCTCCACTTTTTCCTGGTGTTCTGGTGGAGAGGTCAGCCAGGCCCGGTGAGATACTAAGTAACCTTTTTTTGTAGTGTCTACTTTAGCTAAAATGTTTAATCCTTTCTTCCCTTGGCCACTGAATTTACTATGTGAAACAAAGGAACCCAGCACAGCAAAGAAAATGGTCCCCTGGTCCCTAACCTTCCAAAGAGCCCTTGATGCCCTTGGAGACATTGGGTCACCCCATGATGTAAGCTCTCTAGGTGTCTGTCCCCTCTCCAGGTGCACAATAAAGCCATCTGTGTCACTGGATGCTTCTGCAGCCTTGCAAAGGGGACTGACTTGCAATTGTTCCTTAGAGATAAATGCAGTCTTAGTATCATTCACCCAAATAGTTTCTTCAGCTCTTCCTTCTTATTGTAAAATATGTCACTTTTAATGGGTGTTATCCTGTTATTTTTTTAACTGCTTGGGAAGATAGATGCTGGTTTTGTTTGTTTTCAGAAAAGTGGCCAGATTTTGACCCACAGATACGTAACACACAGGAGAACCAAGATAACATGAATTACCACATTCTGTGTTAGATCAGATTGGTGAAAACAGAATCGCTGCAAGAAACGGATTACTGACAGTTTGTTAGCGTGTAAAGTCGCGATCTTACCTATGCACACTAGATCCATAAAACCATACATTCCATAGCAGATTTGAAAAAGGATGTCCTTTCTCTGCCACACTGCATAGGGGCTGAAGGCGGACCAGAGAAGCCAAGTCACGCTTGCTATTAAGAACAGGGATCCTAGGATTACAGCAATCATCTGAACTTTCTCAACCAGTGTTATAGAAATGCTTTGCCACTACAAGAAAAACAGAGGCATGTAAGAAAAAGGTGCTGCATATAATTAGAAAAGAAAGAGAGAAATAAAAAAAATACACAGTTTCAGCCCCATGTGTCTCCTCATTATGTTGGGCCCATTTTGATCTGATTGGCCCCAAATGAATCTTTCCATTTCATCCAGGCTATAGAAAACACACAAGCAGATAAAGGATTAATGAATTGCCTTAACTTCATTATTTTCAGTAATTCACCATCCTCCAAGTTTAATCTGGTTTTATTCCAGATAATAGGACTGAGTGTGAATAGCAAAGGAATCTCCAGTACCTGGGATTCACATTCTTATCATGAATGAAATTTAATACACTCTGAAGACACATGGCGAGGGCTACTCTATCTAGTCATTTATTTTGCTCCATACATTTGGCTATTGCAAAAAGGAGAAATGTCTCTTGACTTTATGGCAAAATGTAAAAAAAAAAAAAAAAAAATCAAGTAAGTTATATAAGAACATCAATGAAAAAGTTGCTTAAGGTAATACAAACTAGAATAAAGAATCATACGGGAACTATAAAAAATGTACATTATCTTTTATTGGTTCATTCAATATACTCAGACATTATTGACTTAGTACTGTCTAATGAGTCATCTATGAAGCCATGTTTCTCAAGATTTAGAATTTGTATCTTTGAAACTCACAAACTGTATTAGCATTCGCTATCCAATGGGAAACATATTTTTGGTGTCCTAAGCATCAACACGGAAGAAGATTTATGGCACAAATGATCAAAAGTCTTTCCAGGGTGCTATCCCCTAGAGAGTATTAGTTAGTCATGTTCTCACTTTTGCATAATTGAGATGGAAAAAAAGCTGGAATTGTCATTGTGGTTTGGCAGTAAACGATGAAAATCAAAACAACCTGCACAGTCTCCATCTGCTTCGGCTGTTGCAATACATGGGCTCTCAGAAGAATTCCTGAACAGGTTTAAATGGCCTTTCGGAACAGTGGGCTTGAACATTTAGTGTCCATCGGATGAATCTGAAATTTCCCCAAACTCCTTACTTACCTTATGCCTGAATACGAGCACCTCCAAATGGAAAATCTATTGCTACCTCCAACTTCCCACAACTGTGCTACCTCCCTCGTCGTCTCTCCTTTCTCTCGCACATACATCATACATATATCATTTACATAGAATGTTCTAAACAGGCATTTGACTTTCCACCTTCATGCAAATCACAAATTCCATACTGGTTAAAGATTCAATATCAAAACACATGTAAGATTCTTGATTTTCTGGAATCACTTACTTTATTTTTTTTCTTAAAAAACAGAACCAAACCACAAACTACAGTTTGGTGAAATTCTATAAGAAGGTATTTCTACTCATTTTAACATTGAGATTCATTTATTGAAAAGCTTTTCAAGTCAGAATGAGTAATAACGTGGTTACTCAATATTATTTTATTATTATAAATGAATCAAGGTTGTATCATATGCAAAGTTTCATTCTGATATGCATTAAGATTTGCTTTTGAAAGAAAAAGATTTGTTTCAAATACATTGTGGTAAACAATATAGAAAACTACCTATAACCAACAGCTATCCTAGCTGGATGCCACATGTCTATATGCTCTATGGTTACTCTGGTTCCCTTTACCGATTTATTAACACATCACATAGATGAAAATGAGGCATGCTTTTAAATCCATAAGGCAAAGGAGTCCAAGTTGTGAGTGTGCGTGTGTTTATTTGATTTTCACATGGTGGCCCACGTGTTTAGAAATGTGTATGCCAGGAATCTTGGATCACCAAAGGTGAGTAAGAAGAGTCACCAAGCATGGTCTTTACTGATACCGATTTTCCTTTTGCCGGCCATCTTTTATGATATTCCAGATTTATGATGCAGTTTTAGTGGGGATACATTTGCATGGCTCAATATTGCATAATTAATTATACTCTGTTGCAATCAGATTTCCTAATGAAGTGCTGCAAGTCTGCCTGCATGATTACTCAATGACAATACGGTGGCCACAGGCACAATGCAGTTAGGCTCTACTGGCGCTCTGGTTTAGGTGAACTGGCAGTGGGGGTTGGACAAGGGTGAGGTATTTCCTGGGACACAGGGAACATGATGACTTCCGCCTCAGCATCAGCTTGGCTGCAATGGTCCGGGAGGCTATGAGCAGAGGGCAGGCCACCTCTTCCTTGCCAAGGAAGGTGAATGAGTGAAGGGACAGACTTAACAGGAACAAGAAATGACATTTTACATTTTTTGGGTAGCATCAAATTTAAATTCCTAGTGGTTTGGAATTAATGTGTTTTAAATTATGTCATGAAGCTTTTTTTTTTTTTAAACAACAGCTCTTGATTACAGTACAGTAGAAGCTTAATTATTTACTTTTATCACAGAATTTATCCTTTGTTGTGGTTATAAGAAGTAATTTGGGGTGCTTGCAGTGTATTTTTTAAAGAAAAAGTGTGCAAAATGTATAATTAGCTCCCTGAATTTTTGTTTTGTTTTCTCTCACTCTGCTAATAATGCAAATATGCAAATGTGGAACTTTAAAAATGCATGGCGCCTCCTCATATACTGGATAAACCTTTAAAATTAACACCATTCCACTGAATAGCTAATGAGGAACACGCCATTATTGAAACAGAAATTATTAAATCTGCTTATGAGTATGGGATTTCCTGGGAACACTGCTAGCATCTGGACACTTCCTTTGCCTCTTTGCATCCGGCTTTTACTTGTTTTTTACATTATGTGCAAAAAGTGGCACTCTTCATATTCTTGCCGTTAATGCTGACGTTAACCAGTAGAAAACTTACACCTTGGCCTGTCCTCGGAAGACACACATTATCTAACTCACTCAGTCCCAAGGAGCTGTGTGCATGGACCATTAGCTTGGACGATAAAAATAGAAGAGAGGTCTCTCAGGGGCTTCCTCTCTCCCCCAGTGGCATCCAAGCCTGGGTTTAAGTTTCTAGGAGATTTCTGCATCTTGAACATTTGTCAACTGCTGAACACACTTTTCATCTCTAAAACTTCATAGATTTATTTAAATTTTGTCGAATTTTGGAAGTGAAAGTAATACAACGATAGCTGAGTTGGTCCTTAATGATTGTTATTATCTTTCTGAAATATCCAAATAAAACCAAACCCACTGCTATTGAGTTGATTCCAACTCACAGCAACCCCCCTCTGGGTTTCCAAGGCTGTACATCTTTACAGAAGTAGATTGCCTCATCTTCTTCCCATGGAGCAGCTAGTGGCTTTGAACCACCCACCTTCCGGTGAGCGGGCAAATGCCTTACCCACTATGGCACCAGAGCTCCTGAAATATTCAATATGTGAGACTATTCCATAATCCTGAAGAGCTGCTCACTTCTGCCCAACAGACTATTGGACTATTGGGTATTGTTTCTAGTAGAAGTGGGACCAACTGGCTCTTCTTTTGGAAGTCCTTCCTCACTTATGCATTAGAAAAAGTAATTTCAATTAAAATGGTCTGCATTTCTATTTGGCCAAACACTTTTCTAAGAAGTTACATGTATTAACTCACTTAACCCCCACAACAACAACCGTGTAAGGTGGGTACTATTATTGCTCCCTGTTTTACAGATAAGTAAACTGAGGCAGAAAGAGGGTGAAGAACTTGTCCAAGGTTACATATCTAGTAAAAGCTGGAGCTAAGATATCAACCCAGGCAGTGTGGCTTTTGGATTCACGTTGTTAATTCACTTAAAAAAGAAATTGCTAATGGTCAATTGTGACTCTTGGTGATGCCATGGGTGCCAGAGTAGAACTGCTCGGTGGGGTTTCCTTGGCTGTAAGCTTCATGGGAGCAGATTGCCAGGCCCTTCTTCCACAGCACCACTGGGTGGTCTGAACTGTCAAGAGTCGAGCACACACCCAGGGACACTAGATACTGTGTAAGCATATAGTAAGTATTACGCTCTGATAACAATGAATTGTATATGTTCCCATGTTTGTAGTGCAACTGCAATTCTCTTGATAAAAACTCCCAGTCTGTCCTCGCTGGTCTACTGAATCAACTTTCCAACTGGACTGTCAGCTCTGGGTCACACTCTGCTCCTCGATATAATGCCATGTCTACTCCTAATGAAACGATAGCTGCACTAGCTCAGCTGGGCTCTCTGTTCCTTCAAGGCAGGCTAAGTGTTTGGCTCAGCACATATCCCCATGCCCAGCACACAATGGTTGAAGGAAGGATGAAAGAACGGGGGAGAGGAAGACTAATAGGAAGAGGGGAAAGGGAGGATGGACACTCCTCAACACAGCATCATCTGACTTCTTCACCATGTGCTTCTTGACTTTGCACCTCTTGAGTCTTTGAGCATGTTCTTTCTCATCCATCTATACCTGGTTCTTAAAAAAAATTTAAAAAAACAGTCACCATTGGTCAACTCCAACTCACGGTGACCCATGGGTACAGAGGAGAACTGTGCTGCGTCAAGTGTTCAACGGCTGTGATCTTTCAGAAGTAGATCTCCAGGCATCTTCTAAGGTGTCTCCAGGTGGATTTGAACCTCCAAATTTGAGGTTAACAGTTGAGTATGTCAACTGTTTATGTCAACCAGGAACTCCTGGATCGAATGCCACCTCTTCTATAAAGCCTTGCCCTCAGCCCCTCCTTTCCTAAAGAGACTCTCTTTCTGGGCCCACCCTGTTTATACATCTGTTTAGTGCTGTTTCACTCTAACGTGGATCTCAGCTAGTTGTCTGAGCAATGAAGTTTCTCAGTAACAGAAGTTGAGTCTCACTCATTCTTATGTTCACTAAACAGCTGAACACACTCAATAAACACTTTCAGACTTCAGTGTTTCGTCATTTCCAAACTGACTGCCATATTAATACTCTCTACATCCATGGTAGCACTATCTACAGGATGAAGTTCAAGCTCTGGTCAACCCATCCCAGAGTCTAAAAGTGAGAATTCAAACTCAGATCTATCTGTTCACAGAGCCTAAATTCTTTTTAAAATACCCTTCTC